AGGCAGAAGGCCGAGAGTTACTGCCAGCCACAAGATCTAAGGCAAACCATAGTCACCTTAATACCAGATTTTTAGTGTATAAAAGAAAGCTAATAGTGCCTGGTGATACCTATTCCTAAGCATGCTTATAATAATTCAATGTAAAGTTGCTTTTTAAATATAAGGACTTATGATAATGTATCCTTTTATTACAAGGAAATTTAATATCATTATATGAGGATATGCCATCTCAATCTCTTTTACTTTGTTAACAACTATCATAGAATTTGCTAAACGTTCTGGAAAATTCCTCCTAATAATTATTCTTTCCATTTTTATCTTATTCTCCCTCTGTTATTCTTTACTTAGTTCCAAGTTTCCCAACACTTTTTCTGCAAAATAACATCAAACTCTCTGCCCAGCACCCACAGTTCTGAACAGTCCTCTGTTTGTCTCTTCCTGAAAAACTGAGTAAGATGAAAAATCAAAGCTTGCGATAGTATTACCATTATCGAAGTACAATTATTTGGAAGAGTCAGCTCAATTTTCTTCCCTGTATTCCACCTCTACCTATACTTCAGTAATCACCACTCTCTGCTACACTTTTGCCATTTCCTTATCTTTGTTCCTCTCATCTGCTCCTGTGTTTCTTTACTTCAGTTTCTCTTGATGGTTTATAATAATTCTTCATTGTTTGAGTCTCCAAACTTTCTTCCTTCAGTGGAACTTACATAAGGATCACAGTCCTAAGAACTCCCATGAAATACGACATAATGATCATTAATTAGCCAAGTCTCATGTGCCTTTTCTTCTTCTTTTGAAGTGGTATAGGAAATACAGTGAAGACCGGCTATAATGTTTGGCAGAGGTCTCCACTGTGTGACATCCCAGCACAGCTACAGGCTAAGCTGTGTCCTGGGCATCTCCACCTGAAGGTTCTCCAGTTGCCTCTACTCACCATCTTTCTCCCAAAATGTCTTTCTTGTCTTATATTTATTCTATCATTAATGGCACCTCCATTTGCCCTGCTAGGCAATCCCAAAAGCTCAGAAATATTTTTAACTTTGTCTCCCATATCCAGCCACTCATTAAATCCTTCCCTATTTTCTGAATCTCACTTATCCTTATCCTATTTTATTTGTTGACTATGGCAACAGTGTCCTCATTTTCCTCTGATCTCCTGGGCCTTCCCTCTCCAGTTCCTCCAAAACATTATTGCTAGAGCTGTTTTCCAAAGAAAATCCAATTACATATTCCTTGGCTTATAATTCAGCTTTAAAATGCTAAAAAAAAAAAAAAAAAAAGACTATCCAGGCTGTGATAAAGTATAAAAACTGGCATTTGAGGACCTTTACTTCCTAACCCCATCTCACAAGACTTGTCTTCTATAGCTACACAGGACTTCCATCTGCCCCTAAGAATGCAAGGCCCACACTCACCTACTTTGCCTAGTAGCCCTTGTAGTTTTCTCAGCTTAGAATGTCCTTCTCTCTCCCTCTTGACCTTTAGAGCTCAAAGCACAGTTGAAAATTCACCTGTTCTGTAAGTCTTCTAGTCTCCAGCCACACCTTTATCCTGGGAGAGTGTCTTAGTTACTTTTCTCTTGATGCTGAGGCAAAATACCCAACATTCAAAATTAAAGGGGGAAAGGTTTATTTAGCTCACAGTTTGTAGAAGTTTCGGTCCATAATTGGCTGGCTCCAAGGAAGGGTGGCACAGCAGACAGGCATTGCAGAGAAAAAACAGTTCATGGTAGGCAGAAGGAGAAGTTAGCAAAGCAACAAAGAAGGACCATAGCTCTTTCTGTCCCTTTTATCTTATCCAGACTACTTAGGCCAGGTAGCACTCACACCCTTAATCTTAGTGCCCTTGATCCTAGCATTGGCCCATGAATCAATCCCAGCATCACACAATCTAGATCCAGCCACCTCTGAAAAAGCCTCACCTGTGACTGCATGAGGCTTTGGGAGGACATCTAAACATAAGCCATAATAGAGGATGAATGGCCACTACTCCCACACTGCATCCTGTGGTACAATTACTTGTGATGGGTCACTCACCTCCTCAAACTCAACATCCCAGTATTTATTATTTAATTTAAGAAATGGTTACTGAAAATAATATTGATGAATAAAATAATAACTAAAGAAAAATTTAAGAGACTTAGAATCACACCAACTCCCATACTTGCTGCATTAAAGAAAGGAACCCAGGAATAAAAAGAAAGGACTAACAATCTGACTGTAGGAAACACAGGAATGGGTTGTTTTTAAAAGCTAAGTGGTTTGGGGAGGGTAGGGGGAGAAGAAAGTACATTTTAAAGCTCTAGCTCCAGGGCAAGCAATAAAAATTATTGTATTAATGTTTGAGGGGTTTTTTTTTTTTCCTTTTTGGCTTTTCTTCCCCCATAATATTGTGAGCAATGGGAAGGTCTATTCCATCACAGCAGCCTTCAGGGCAGAAAGTTTCAGCGTCCTGAGCTAAATCAAACTGGCATCAACTCAGCTTTTCAGGGAGCCACTACTGGTCTCTGCCTTCCACAAGGCTAACCCTGGCTGACAAAAAAGAAACAAAACAATTTCCCTCTTATTTTATGGGCTTATCCCCTTTTGCTCTTGTCAATTAGTTACAAGGGCCCTGGAAACCCACTGTGCATTCTTATCCCTGGATTACAGGGATGTAGACATTGTACTTTGTCGGCACCACGAGCTGTCCTTATAAAGAAACAGGTTGGCAGGCAGCAACTTACCAAGGACACAAAGCCAGTCCAAGAAACAACAGTGCATAATACTCACGGTTCAAAGCCCTTTCATAGTGCCATTCACTGATGACAGCTCTCAACGTTACCCATTTCATACTCTCTAAATTGGTGAGACTGAACACATTTAAAATTAGGATGTATAAATACCTAGGTCAAAAGATCCATCTACTAGAATCCCAATGGAATTCAATAATATTTAAAATGATAAAACAGCCAACTCCTCCATAATTCAGTCTTAATCTCTGCACTATTGCATACTCATTCTAAACACACTTACCCTCGATGCCCTAGAATGTGTACATATACAGGAACCTATAGAGACTACACCCTTCAACAACATACAAGCTTTACTAACAGAGATTGTGTCTCTGGGAGAATCCCCGCCTCCATTTGCTTGTGTTTTGAGTCCTGACTTTCCCATTTTCCAAGCACAGTTTCTGTTTAAGAAAGTCAAACAGGGATTACAATAGTTCTACATTTTAGGATTATAGTGACACCTAAATGGGGCAATGTAAGTGGTAAGATTATAACAGTGCCTAGTGCATGGTCACAGCTCCATAAATATCAACTTGGTTACATTCCATGACAAACAAGTGGCCCCATAACTGGCTGTTTGGGAAAAGAATCTCATAAAGTTAGGCTTTATGAAAACCAAGCAAAATATTTGTTCCACTTCTCCCAATAGACTAGAAATAACTGAAGTAGGTAAAATTAATTCTATCTTTGGACTTTGTGTTTGTTAAATGTAGCATGCACAAAATATTTTAATATATATGTAAAATGACTTTTTAAGTGCCTTTAAAAATCTCCAAGGTTCTTTTATTTTCAAAATGTTGTGATCTATGATAACTGATCTCAAATGCATGCAAATTAATCGTGACACAATTCCCTAGACATCCCAGAAATGCATGGCATTGTCTGCTCCAGTTGCACTGGAAACAATTAGACCTAGGGCCAGGACCCTGCAGCAATGCAGAAGAAAATCTTCCCTCCTTTCTCCGCACCAGCCCAAGCCCTCTGTTGCAAATATAGAGTGGAAGGCAAATGAGCTGTAATTTGCACAGAAGAAAGGGACAAGACTCTACAGAATCCCAAGGAGAGCAGGTAAAGAAAGAAGAACTCCGTGAAAATATCAGCAATTTCACCTTCTAACCCTGATAAAAAAGAATCACAGAAGTTTGACTCAGGAAGGAGCTTCAGCTATGCTCCCTCACATTGAGGATTAAGAAATTAAAGCCTGAAGAGTCCAAGTGACAAGTCCAAGGCCAACCAGCTTTTCTGCAGCATGGGCCTAGAAACCCCAAACTCCTGCAGTGATCAAGCGTGTGCTATGTGCTCACAGTAGTAAATGTCTCTTTTCATTTCTGGGCCATTTAGCCCTCTTCAGTCACCCACAAATCAACTTGTCTCAGGAAAACAGACAAGATTCTTCACAATCCTGAATTCAAGAGAAATGCCTGGGTCCACAAACAAGTTAGTCATGTGGTTCTAAGTTGAGATTCACTCTTGATTTTTCAGAAATACATGAAATAATACTACAGCAACAATGATTCTTCAAAAGTCCGAAGTAGAAGAAAACAAAGCACACACAAGAAAAGTCTGGACACATTTTGTTTTAAGCAAACACATACACTAAAATCCACCTAAAGTGGACATAGCAGGGTCTGTTTCTGATAATTTCTTTAACTGGAGCATAGAGTAGAAATCCTGTTAAGTATATCACAATTAGAACAACTCCATTTGCCAAAGAACAACACTTGCACAACTCTTTGGAAACCCATTGTAAAATAAAATTTGTAAATCTGTGTCCTCTGCTTCCATTTCATATGCATGTCCATGAATCCAATGTATATTCTCTCATGTTTATATGCATTCTGCTCCTTTTCATATGTGCCTGCCACTGCCTCATTCATTCATTATTCATTCGGCTCAAGTTCATAGATACTCACTTCACACCTAAGCATATGTCAAGTCACACTTGGTCTTGGCTTCACGGGACAAGCACCACAAAAGCAAAAGCACAAAGTAAAAAGTGAAAAAAGCCTCTAAAGCACCCCAATAAAGCCGCTAATGGGATCCGCAAGGGGGTCCTGAGGACTCCAGGATGAGGGGTGAAAAGGTCGCGCCTGCTGTCGCCCTGCGCGTCCCCTCAGGGACCCAGAAGGGGCTGACCCAGGCCATCCGCCTCCCAGCGGCCCCTGCCAGGTCCCCTGTGATGGAGTGGTCCGGGGTGGGTGGTAATGTCGCCGCGGGGACGCACCTGGTGAGGGCTCTCGTGGTGGAGCCTTGCAGCCCAGTAGGGACAGGGCCCCGCGGCGAGGCCTGGGCCGCTTGACGGAGGGCGGAGGCGGGACCGGGAAGCCGGAGGCGGGACCGGGAAGCCAGAGGCGGGGACCTGAGACGGCCTCACCTTCCGGGTTCCGGCCGCTGGCTGAGCCACCGCGTCGCCCCCGGTCCCCGCCCCGGGCCTGGCGTCCTCCTCCTCCTCGGACGGGGGCGACAGAGAGACGAGGCCCGCCGCGGGGTGGGCTTAGGGGCGGCTGAGAGGAAAACGCGAAGGGTTTGTCTTCTCTGGACCCTCGGGAAACTGCACGTCGTGCGGGCAGTCACGCCGCCCACGGGAAGTGACCATTAACCCGCTATTTTCCTGTCCTGCGGGTGGATTACTGGAGAGGCGGTGGTGAGGTCGGCAGAGGAGGGGACCCAGACCAGAACAGAAAGTCTTTTCTCTGGTTCGGGCATCAACGGTCCGGCAATGCTCAGGGAGAAAGGAGACTCAGCCCTGACCCGGGGTAGCTAATCTCAGCCAGTCTCACACACTTGTGGTCACCGGGTATGTGCTCACGTATTTTCAACGTTTTATGTTTTGATAAGTCAATACTTCTTGCTTAACCAAACTCTTATCAAGTACAAAGTTATTTTTGTGAAATAGTCTCTCCTGACAGCACACATACTTTTCATTTAAAGAAAAAGAAAATTTACACGCTCAGTTTTTTTTTAAGTGCAAAATCCATTCACCTACACCCACATAACCCTGGGTTAACAATCCCTTCAGACTTTTACCAGCCCCGTCGCCCACCACACACAGTGCCAGGATTCAAGGTCCTCCCAGTACGGCCCTGGTCAACTTTTCCAGGAGGATATCTGAGATACCACATCCAGCAACATTGAATTACTTTTTCCTCAAAGGATCTGGGGTAAAGAACAAGTTTTTATTAATCTCAACCTTTCATGACTTATTTTTGTAAAATACAATTTAAAACTTATTTGCAAAAGTGAAAAAAAATGACAAAAACTACACCCCCTAGTTTTTGTTAAAAAAAAAAAAGTATGCAAGTTTGCAGCACGTATAAAATTATTTTTTTAATTTCTAAAGCCTTACTCTCAGTTTCCATATTTATTTCATCACTGACCAATAAAAATGGTCCATAGACTAGCACCGGTGACCATACTTCACTGACTTACTATTCTTTATATGAAATGCTTATTGACTTCTGGGCCTTTTTTCATATTATTGCTTTAGTGCTCATCAAAGTTATTCTCATTCAAGATTGGGTTGATAATGCAATAATAACAATAACTTAGCACTGCCCTCTCTGACTGGAGTATCTTTAAGCCCTGTACTTTCTTCATACTAAAAACTGGAGGTGGAGGTCATTCTTTGTGTCTCCACTATCTTCTGTGTTTATTTCATGTTATGTTATAATTACTTGTTTAACTCTGTATGCCCTAGACCACAGGTAAATCACTATATTCAGAGTTATATCACCAAAAATTTCTATTTAATCAACTGAACAAATAGTCAATAGCACTTAGGATCTGCCAAGTGCTATTCTAAGAGCTTTATAACTTCATAAACAATCCTTTGGGTAGATGATAGATGATGGGAATAGACCTTTTTATAGTCAAAGTCAGTCATGCCATTCCTCTGTTCAGAACCCTCCAGTGACTTCCTGTTTTATCCAAAGTGAGAGCCAATGCCTATATAGGAACCTACAGGATACTGCGTGGTCTTGCTCCCATCAGTGACCCCATGGTTACTCTTCTCCCGCCATATTACTTTCTTGCTTGCTATTCCTTATTCACTGCTGCCTTAGCGGCTCTGTGCTGGCTGTTCCTATTCCCTAGACATCTATTTGATAAACCTTCCTTGCTCATTTGCTTCCAGATTTTGCTCAGGTCTCATCATCTCCCTGAGGCCAACCTTGGCCACCTTTTAATACTGCAACCAGCCCTTTCCCTCCAGCCCCAGCACCTTCCTCTACTCGTTATTTTTTCCATAGCACTCGTCATTTCCCAACCTACTGTGTGATAATACTTACATGTATTGCGTACTGTTGGGAAGTTCTTCAAGAACCATGATTTTGACCTTTCCCTATCTTTTCTACTGTATTCCCAGTGCCTAGAAGAGTATGAAGCATGGTAAGTAGGCACTCAAGTAGCCACTCAGCTGTATCGTAAATCCAAATAATTTCTGAGACTGGCTGGCCAGAGTAGCCATTAGGGTAAGGTGAAGGTGACTTGCAGAGACACGTGAGAATAAGAGGTAAAGGTAAATATAAGGGAATGGGTTATACTCCAGAATGCCAGTCATCCCACTCATTCCTCCACTCCCAGAGGAGAACAGCAGTGGGGGAGATAATGTTTGGAATAAAGCATTTAGTTTATATAAAGAAGCCCAAGATGGTAACATATGTCACCCAAGTCAGAGAAGTCTGCATGAATGCTTAGTGGAGGAGACCTGGTAGTAGCTCACATTCCTCTAGCTAGAACTCAGTCATGTGAGCATACTTCCCTGCAAAGGGGTCTGGGAAATGTAATCTACTTGTGTGTTCAGGAGGAAAGGGAAATGGGTTTACTGAATAGCCAACAGGCTTTGTCATACTTCTTGACCCAATGAATGAATTTCTAAAAATCTATTCTAAGGAAATTATCAGGCTAATTTAATGTAGCAAAACATTGATAATACATCAGATGATTAGTACTACAAGAATAGTTCATAATAATTTTAGTACATCTACATAGTGAAATAGCATGCAACAAATAATAGATTTATAAATAATTTTCATGACATGGAAAACATCAGCATATAGTTTTAAAACTTCTAATGCTCAACCATATTTTAGTGTTTTAATTTTGTAAATATACATATTTATCATAGATATCATGTACAGATGGCTCCTGTCTTATAATGGTTTGACTTAATCAAGAGTTGTCAAATTTATGATGGTGTGAAAGCAATACTAATTCAGTAAAAATGATGTTGACCTTCTTCCAGGCTAGCAATATGGGGTCTGATACCTTCTCCTGATGCGGGGCCACAGCAGCCACACCATCCTGAGGGCAAACAACTGATACTCCACAGTGTACTGTGTTGCCAGCAGTTTTCATATACAAATAGTCATTAAATTACATGAGATAGTCAACATTTTATCATAAAACAGTCTTGTGTTAAATAATTTTGCCCAAGTGTAGGTTAATGGAAGTGTTCTAACCATGATTAAGATGGGCTAGGCTAAGCTGTGATGTTCTAAAGGTTAGGTAGGTACATTTTTCACTCACAGTATTGTCAACTTATGATGGGTATATTAAGATATAAATTCACTGTAAGTCAAGGAGCTTGTGTACCCCCAGACATGATTAAGTAAGTGATATACTCGTTTGTGTGTAGTATCCCACATGATAGGTTCACACCAATTGAAACAGTGGAATAAAACTTCTGTTGTAATATTGAAGTCTCTGGTAGGAAAAAATATTTTAAATGATCATAACTATATGAGACAAAATTGTGAAAAACACAAGAATGTACCAAAATGATAAGTTGTTGTCTTTGTATAATGGAATGAATGTGTTTATTTCTTATTTTCTCTTGGTATGATATTGCCAATTTTTCTAGAAACATCTTTTATTACTTTACATTGAGAAAAATTAACTTCCTAAAACAGACGAGTGAGTTGGAATATATCCTCAAATAAAGTTGATACTGTGCTTAAAGATGAGAGGGAATCCTAGAAATGGGAGGTAGAAGTTCCTTATGTGATGAAAGATGATGAAAGAAGAAAGGTGATGAAAGAAGTGGTCACTACACATTGTACCATTCTTGTCTCCCTGAAGGGCTAGTACAGAATAGGAACCCTTGACCTTAGGGTGTGGGGAAGGACAAGGAATGTCACTGACTGATACTGAAAGATACTCAAACTACTGGAATAACGCCAGGATTCTGGGTATCCTGCCAGGGCCAATATTCTGTACTTCTTGTCTTGTGACAAGGGGCTGGTGGTTTGAGACACAGAAGAGATAGTGCGTGCTTTTCCTCAAAGCCAGCAAAGAGTCTAGCTGCCTCTTTGGTTCATAGAAGTGGCTTGTTACAGTAGAATAGTAACTAGATTAATACTTAAAAGACATGGGCTGCACTACATAGGTGCCTGCAGCTGTAGTTCCAGTTCTAAACTGTTCATTTTCCTCTACTATACTACAGTGCATCAACCTCAACTGCTGGGACAACTGTTGGCAGACAATCAGCCCTCAGCTGTTGGCCCTCTTCCAGAATTTTCATAGTTGCAGGGTTGCCTCATTCATTGAACACTTTCTTACTTTTTAGAACAAAAAGATGGTGTAATGCATTAAAAAAATATGAAGGAAATCAAATCAGATGGACATTGGAATTGAATATTTGTGCTGATGTAATCAAGTCGCTGAGAGTGATTAATATATGGTCAAAATCTAAGTGTGAAAGCTACAGCACTTTTTGGTAGCATATAAAGAGGTTTTTATCTCCTGCACAGCAGAACAGAAAAAGCTGATGACATTCCTTAATAATTAGTTTCAAAGAAGATAAAATGCTCAGTCTAAGCAGCTCTGCAATGTACAGGACAACACTCTCCTCTGGGCTATGCTGGATCTGATAAAAAGATTATAACCCAAAGTTGCTACTAGATCTAGGTAATATGTATAGCAGAAGTTCAGAAAATATTATAAGAAGACTGTCTTTAATGATCAGAATCAAGGTGGGTAGAACATAAAGTTTAATAAAGGAGAGTCTGTGTAATAACACTTTTCCTTCATGCAGGATTTCACACCTGGCAAGGAACTCAGGAGATGTTGCTACTATCCTGCTAAATTGTCACTTCAAGAAACTTGAAAAAAGTGATATCCTACACTAAAATAAGAATATATCCTACCACTGCCAAGTAGATAGTATAGGAAGGGCTGAAAAGTTCTGAGAAGTGGACATACAAATAGATGTCTTATGTCTCGAAAACTGACCAACTGACCAAGGAAAAGTCCAGAAGCCCTCCGTATAACAGACCAACAGGGATGCACTGATGAGAAACACTTATGAAAAACTCAGAAGTCACTGTTTTCTGTGGGCCAGGGCTGTTGGTAGAAAGTGCTCTTACTGAATTGAACTCCCAAAGAGAAATGATAGAATCCAAAGTTAATAATGGAGACCAGGTAACAGTGATTAAATGTCAGAAAAAGATACAATTATCACAATGTAAGAATCATAATAATAAGATTAGAATGACACTTTAAAATGTTTAGGGCCAGGCATGGTGGCACATGCCTGTAATCCCAGCACTTGGGAGGCAGAAGCAAGAGGATTTCTAAGATTTCGAAGCCTGCCTGGGCTACATAGTGAGTTCAAGGCCAGCCTGAACTATGTAGCAAGACCCTGTCTCAAAAACAAAACAAAATTTTAAAAACAGTAACCTTAAACTTCCTTGGGAAAAAATAAAAAATAAAATAAGATAAAATGTTTAAGATACAAGGATACTGATTCCCATTATGCCGCCATTCAACTTACTAG